TCTCAGTTTGCAGATATGTTCAAATCCCTTAACTGTTAGTCTTTCATCATAAGTCAATATTTATGAAATTCTACAAACTTTTTTTTATACACCCGTTTATGGGACGTATTATGGTATACTATGTCAGTCCGTCTGTCCGTCCGTCCGTAGTCAACATGTCGGACAATAACTCAAAAACGCTTTAACCATGTGAATTTGCATGAAACTTTGGTGAATTGTTTATATTTATTGACCTGAGCTCCCTTTCGATTTTCATAAATTTTAGATTTTACGTTTCTGAGTTATGTGGTTTTATTCATTAAAAAAGGGGGATTTTTCCAGTTTTCGGACAATAACTCAAAAATGCTTTGAGCAGTTTTCATGCAACTTTGGTGAATTGTTTATATCTATTGACATAAGCTCCCTTTCTATTTTTTTAAATTTTAGATTTTGCCTTTCGGAGTGATGTGATTTTATTCATAAAAAAGGGGGGATTTTCCAGTTTTCTGACAATAACTCAAAAGTGCCTTTAGCAGTTTTCAAGAAACTTTAGTGACTGTTTTATATCTTTTAAAATAACCTCCCTTTAGTTTTTTTTATAAACTGCTGATATGAAATTGAGGAGTTATGGAACTTTATTCTTTGAAAAAAGCGACAGGTGTATCATGCGCTCATGGCGCAGCTGTTTATTTAATTTTGGGAAATGCTACAAGTATATAAGGTTATATCAGTCTGTCTTGTATTTGCTTAGATACCAGAAATGTTTAGATCCATTGAACTGTAAGTTTGTTGTAATTCAACATTTATAAAATTGCACAAACATTCACTCTTTTTATGTTGGTACCTGGCTACAGAATACATAACTGAGATGTTTCTGTGTTTATTTCTGCTCAAAGCTCCATGGACCCCAGTATTTTAGTACACAAAATCTGGTCATTCATGACAGAGCAATCCGTCATTTTGTATACTACAGGTTCTGACAGTTGTAGGCAATACCATGGAACATAGATTGATATAGTAAAATTGAGAATGGAAATGGGGAATGTGTCAAAGAGACAACAACCCAACCATAGAGCAGACAACAGCCGAAGGCCACCAATGGGTCTTCAATGCAGCGAGAAACTCCCGCACCCGGAGGCGTCCTTCAGCTGGCCCCTAAACAAATATGTATACTAGTTCAGTGATAATGGACGTCATACTAAACTCCAAATTATACACAAGAAACTAAAATTAAAAATGATACAAGACTAACAAAGGCCAGAGGCTCCTGACTTGGGACAGGCGCAAAAATGCAGCGGGGTTAAACATGTTTTTTGAGATCTCAACCCTCCCCCTATACCTCTAGCCAATGTAGAAAAAACAAACGTACAACAGTATGCACAGTAAAACTCAGTTTAAGAGAAGTCTGAGTCCGATGTCAGAATAGGAAACAAAAGAAAATAAACAAAATGACAATAATACATAAATAACAACAGACTACTAGCAGTTACTGACATGCCAGCTCCAGACCTCAATTAAACTGATTGAAAGATTATGTCTTCATCATATGAATATCAGGCACAATCCCTCCTGTTAGGGGTTTTTATTATACCGTCATAAAATATATGAGAAGAACATAACCCGTGTCATGCCAACAACTGGTTTTAGAATAAATATGTTTAATTCCGATGCAAAGACCCTATAAGTGAATCAATATTAAAGCCAAAATATGCAATTTTTAATGACCTGACAACAGTATCGTAACTATATCCCTTCTTAATAAGTCTGTTTAAAGGTTTTGTTAGCTTTTGAGGTGAATACTGACATTTTTGTGCTTTGTAAAGAATATTACCATAAAAGATTGGATGTGAAATACCCGAACGTATAAGATGTCTGCATGTTGAGTTATATTTACGAATGATGTCCTTATACCGATGATAAAATTTAGTAAATGTTTTGACTAGTTTATGATATCGAAAACCCTGATGTAATAATTTTTCAGTAATATATAAATTTCTCTCGCTAAAATCTAATATGTTGTTACATACACGAGCGAATCGTACAAGTTGAGATATATAAACACCATAAGATGGTGACAAGGGAACATCACCATCTAAAAATGGATAATTAACCTTTTAAGAGATGCATGTAAAAAAATTTTCTTGTTTAATAAATTAGATTCCATAATAAGGTTGTGATATAAAACACTAGATGGCTGCCTTTTATGAAAATATTTTTAAATGGAAGTGATTGATTGATTGATAGATTTTTGGTGTTTAACTCCACTTAGAGCACTGATGGCTGTATCGTGTCAACCAGTTATTATTGGTGTAGGAAGCTAGAGTATCCTGAGAGAATCATCAATATTTGGTAGGAAAACAGACAATCCAAGTCAATTTAGATTGGAATCGAATACACCTTGCCATGAGCAGGGTCCAATCTCACAACCTCAGTGTTGACACTCAGAAAGGCTTATAATCACAGAAGACCACCCAGCTACTAAGGCTTTCTGATGCTATTGAAATACATTATTGACCTGCACATTTGAATGCTAAGCATTTAGTTTGGTTTGCATCTATTATGTGAGTGAGGTTTCTTTGGGCCTCTATTTTAATATTATTTAGCAGTGTGGTAACATGAACAGCATCAGTTGCAAAAAAAAAAAAAATGTCAGTATAGATTTATGTATGTCCTAAAGCAGATTCATTGTTAGTAAATATATTAAAATGATATTCTATTTCATAATTATTAGTAACAATATCTGACTAGTGTCTACTAAACTGTCATAGACACTACATTGTACTGTAATATTCAGTGGGAGGTGTTAACTCACCGTATTGTCTAATAGTTACATGCATTGGATTTCGAAATAGAACTGATTCCTTTGAATTATAGCACCATGTTTATACTACATTCTATTTTTAAATCTATTCAGATAGCACCATGACAATGGTGCCTGACATTTGATCTCTTTAGTGAAAGAAGTGCAACATTTCTTGTTGGTTGTATTATGTACATTTGCAAGACTTCAATAGTCACTGCAACCAAGACATAAAAAATACAGTAATACTATCAAAATAAGATATAGCTAAAATTCTTTTTACCAAACTGATTGAACACATGATTTGTATTACAATTAGATTGTTATATTGTTAGCAGCATTTAGATTTCAATAAAAGGAGATGTGGGGTATACAGTCTTCACAATAAATTTTTAAATCTACAGGCCCAGAGTTCAATTTTTGGAAAATTTTAGTTAGATTCTGTTGGTCTGTAGAGATGATTTTTACAGGCCTGAAAGCAATTTTACAAGCCTGGGATGCTGGGCCTGTGGTTCAGCGTGAAGACTGGGTACATGTCAACGAGATGGAGGGAAAAAAGGCCCCAAAACCAATAAATATCTATAGGTTGCACTTTGTAAATACAGCTGTTTCTCAAACCACGCCTCTTTTGGGGAGATATATAATATTCATAGATATGTTAATTTGTTAATGTACTGGTTCCCATTTATTATCTCTGTGTTTCATCTCATAGAGACATCACTTGGGAATGTAACCAGTATAGAAAAACATGGTAGCGCCTAAATTTTAATTCTTAGGAGGTCCAATTATGAAGGTAAGGGTAGTATAGAATTTTAGTATAAGTTTAAACTCTTAGAAGTTCAGGGCATATAAATGTTGAAAATATGCCGCACAGCCCTATAGTTTGACCTTTGAATAAAATAGTAGTGCATATAAACTTTCCGTTCTGGGATATTATTTTTCACGAAACTTCATAGTAAAAGTGTCACAGTTTTAGCCGCAAAGGGAGTTCCTATGGGAAATTGCATTGTCTATATTTACAGAATTGCAACCTATAGGTCTTTATAGACAGGTGTTTATACTTAATGTCAAATGCTGAGCCCAAAAAAGTTGTAATGAATTTAAGAGAGACTATCAAACATCTGCCATCAACACAAAAGTAACCAAATGGCCAAAACAATTAAGATATGACAAAAGAAAGCCAATGACCCAGTTCCTGTATTGAAACTGGTTCATACAATTGTGGTGGGTTTTGACATTTTTTTAAAGATTTCTTCTAGTTAAAGTTAACTTGCTTAATCAGTTGAAATAACAGGACAAAATGTTTTGTTTTTATTAAATCTCCAGAATTGAGTCTAAATGATTCATAACATATGACAAAAATAATGATATTAAAAGATAACAGTGTTGATAAGATAGTGCCCATGAGAATGTTTCCTTTATATAGACAATCATAATAAAGTTTCAGTATTTTTCTAAATCTTATTAAAAATAACAATACATGTCGATATCTTTGAATGGGAAACTTAGATTGTATTTATCATGGCTTTTTCTCTACAAGCCGTTTGTTATTTGAGCTCACTTCAATGTTCTGATGCTTTTTTATTTGTCATTGCATTTGTTCATAAAAAGAGGGAATACAAAGATTGTAGTATGATACATGTAATCCAGTTAGAAATTCTTTAAGAATTCCTAAACTTGTATTAATTAAATACTCTTTTATCTGTAAGAGTTAGTACAATTTATTGAAACATTTGTACAGTAATTTTACTTTATTGCACTTTATTGAAACATTTGTACAGTATATTTTAATTTATTGCACTTTATTGAAACATTTGTACAGTATATTTTAATTTATTGCACTTTATTGAAACAGCTGTACAGTATATTTTAATTTATTGCACTTTATAGAAACAGCTAGCTGTACAGTATATTTTACTTTATTGCACTTTATTATAACATTTGTACAGTATAGTTCAATTTATTGCACTTAATTGAAACATTTGTACAGTATATTTTAATTTTTTACACTTTATTGAAACAGCTGTACAGTATATTTTAATTTATTGCACTTTATTATAACATTTGTACAGTATATTTCAATTTATTGCACTTTATTGAAACATTTGTACAGTATATTTTAATTTTTTACACTTTATTGAAACATCTGTACAGTATGTTTCAATTGTATGCGTCATAATGCTGTTTTTCCTAGTGTAACATTTTCGTTTTGTATTTTCAGAGCAGCGCAACTGGGGTCCCTGTGACATTGAAGGTGGATCCCAATGGCTATATCCTTTTCTGGAAAGATCAAAACAAGGTATGAAAATTATATAAGTTTGCCCATACAGAAAATTCTGCTACTGTGCCATTGTTAAAGTTGATTTTATTGCAATCAGTAAGAAGGATCCAGTTATTCATCCACACTGTTCACATAGGGTTAAAATACCAAAAAATACCAAAATCTTGTGTTCCTATTTTGGGCTGTCTAATTATATGTTAAACCTCCCACTTTTTGATTTTTTACCTTTCTGACTTTTTAAATCAAAACGAAAGGGGCCTTTTTACTCTGCTAGTCTTATTTCATACAAATCTTAGAATAAAAACCAAGTATTTGGAATTTTGAAAATTTAACCTTTGTTTTTCACAATGATACACATATAAGGACTTTCAAATATATTCCCTCTGGCTACAACATCATTAGTTTAAAAAGATGGTAGATGTTTACAGAGAGTACATTTGTAGGTAATTTACTTATAACTGGGAAAGTTTTCCATCAATGAATTTACTTTATTGTCTTTTCCTCTGAAATAATGATTATACATGTGCAAATATATTCATGGAAATAAGTAGATGTCGTATAATTGCCAACGAGATATCTATCCATCAGAGATCAACGGACGAGGATGTAACGAGATATCTATCCAGCAGAGACCAACGGACGAGGATGTAAACAACTTGCAATGTCATTAAAAGTAACTTTTTGATATGGTACTACAAAAGAAACTGTTCAATTTGTCAATTTTAAAACACGAGAAGTGCAGGAAATGAATAGTCTTAACCCACACTTTACTTGTCAAGAGGGAACTAAGATGGTGTCTTTTTTGGGGTCAACTATTGCACGATTTTCTGTTTTACTATATCCGATTAGTATTATATTTGAGAATTAAAGAAGTTTTTTTGTAGTGTAAATGACTTGTAAATGTGTTGAATTCCATTTTTTAAAAGTGAATCTGTATTCAGTAAAACAAATTGATTAAAAGTAGTTCCCGCAAATGTTAGGGTGTCTAAAATTTGACTTTTATTTGGTCTTAAAAATATAAACTAATCGTAATACCGTATTTATATGGAATTGACATCTTATGTGAACTATAGAAGTTTAAAAAACTTCAATGTCAAAAGTATTGCAAAAAAATTATTACATGGAAAGATAAATTTATAAATGTTCATATCTCATAATCTGATTTACAATACGTATTCTGACTTAAGAAAAGTTCTATTTTGTTTTGAATTAAATTTTATGCTACAGCAGCCGTTTGTACGAACGTTGCATTAGCCTAATGGGTCATTAAGTCTTCATTAAGCCTTTATGATGCATTAGGCTAATGAAGACTTAATGACTCATTAGCCTAATGACACGTTCGTACAACCGGCTGCTGGACATTAAGTAACAAACAAACAAACAAATCAAATCATTGAAAATGTCAGATACCAATGTGCCCAAATTATGTTCAGATCCCAATTAAAAAAAAGATTGATTTAAGTTACAACTTGTGTCCATTGACCCAGCTGACCAAGTAACAAATACACTTTAGCAGATGTTTTATAATATTATAGTTTATGATTAATCACTTTTTGTTTTAGGAGATGGAATCCCTAGATATGTCTTTGATTCGTGATACTCGAACTGGAAAATATGCAAAAGTACCAAAGGTTTGTTTAAAAATTGATTTGTCCACAAAAAATGTTGTCAACTTTCTAACAGAAAATTCAAATTAGCAGAGACCATAAGTTGTGTTTTCTGTTTTTTTCTGAGTTGTTAGATTTGTGCCTCATAGGTGTATACCCATCTCCTTTAACTTTAGTTACAAACAAAATTTTATTTTTTCAGAATGGCAAAAATATGAAATGCCTTATATTGTGGCACTGGTAAATGTTGGGTTGAGGATTGGTTACCTGTGAATATTTTTTATTATAGCTAAGCATTGTTAGTTTAATGCACAGAATCTGTCAGAGGCTATAAGTTTACATTAATATGTTAATTGATTGTTGGTGTTTAATGCCATGGTCAGCACACTTGGCTTCAATGTACCGAATATCATGCTGGCTAGTTTTTATTAGTGGTGGAAGCCTGAGTACTTGTAGAGAACCACTGTCTTTGGCGGGAAAACTTGAAATCCTAGTCAATGAGGATAGGTGTTGAATACATGGATGCAAAGCAGGGTTCAACTCACAATCTTAGTGTTGACAGGCTAGTGATCAATGTAGATTAAATTACTTTGACCACTCGCCCACCAAGGACCTTGTTGGTGTTCATTTACCTGTTAACGATTTTGGGTTGTCGCACATCCTGGCGTCTAGGGCCAATTTTCTCTCTTCAAATATGTGAAAGATTTATGCTTCTGAAAATATATTAATACAATTTGTATATGGCTACTGTAGTAATACATTGTACATAGTAATTTTGCTAAGCCAGTTTAAAATATGATTAGAATTTCTTAAGTTTTTATGTTTTTTTTTTGCCGTAGTGACTTTTAATCATTTGTAAATATGATCAGTAATAAAATTCAATTGACTTTTTAGAATTACAATGTATAATGATAATTTATGGTGGATTAAAAAAATGATCTATTATGAGAGTAAATGTAAACTCGCTTATATATTGTGAATTATAAATTGAAAACTAAATCAAATTACCTACATTATTTACTATTACATTATTTAGTTTGTTTGTTAGGAGTGAAGTTCACTTTCTATACACTTATGGGTGTCTGATTTATTAGCATGTAACTGATTTTAAATTTGGTCATATACATGTACATGATATAGGATTGAGTGCACCCTGGGTTTTTTGACTGATGTGTACAAGTACTTTTAGATTGTTTGACATCAAATCTTCCATTCTCTTTCTGTATTTTGATATTTTGTTTTATTATTTGACAGGGATGGTTGTTTATTTGTTATTGAACGAACTTTGGTTATTTTGCTCATTGAAAAATTTCTAGACTTAGTACTTACGAACATAGAAATGACACTTTTGACAAGGAATAGACTTGAAGTGTTTATAGATGAAATTCAAAGATCATCCCCGACTAAAGGACTATAAGTTAACACTCCCAACCCGTCTGTCGTCAGTATGTCTGTCATGTAAGTTTCCCGCTCTTTTCTGTTATTCTGGGATTTGATAGGAAAACTGACAATCCTAGTCAATTAAGATTGGAGTAGAGTGCACCTGCACGAGCGGGGTTTGAACTCACAACCTCAGTGTTGACCGGCTAGTGATTACAGTAGTAACTACTTAGACCACTCGGCCACCGAGGCACCTTATACTGATCAGATATTTGGTAAATGATCATATCATATGAAGTTATAGATCAATTTTTTAGTTTTGTTTCTTTGAGTGATTTCTGGTGGAGTTCTGGTCATTGGATATAGATAATATCAGGTCTCTGCACTTTTTGGGTAATGATAATAAATTGATTTAGATCCTGTCCTTGAAGAGATGAACAAAATCGCTTTGAAATTTAAGCATTTACAGAAATTTAAACCTTAATCTTTAGGGGCTGGTGTGGGTCTGCTGTTGTTACATTGTAACAATATCATCATTTTCAAATGAATATTCACCCCAATAAATGATAAGATGGACTTCTCAACTATATCAGTAACAACGTAATGCTTGTCCCATCCCGTATATGTGTAAACTTTTCAGTCTGTAGGAGACATTATTAATGTATTGTATATGCAATACCATAGGATTATCAAATAAGGAAATGTGATATGATTGCCAATGAGACAACTGTCCTTCAGAGACCAAATGAATAAGATGTTAGCAACAAAAGGTCACCGTACCGCCTTGTTTCAATTGAGATTAGTAATGGATCAAATTATTTTTCACACTCCTGCTGGTGAGAGAAGAGGTTTATAGTAATGACCACGATAAAATTTTTCCTTCCTATTACATAAAAGAAAAATTATACGTAGGCTAAATATATTTTTCAAAAATATTTACAATTTATAAACTGTGGAAAATATCTTGACTATAATATATAGCTCTTCTAAAAACTGCCGGGTTGGGAGAATTTGTGAATGTTGGGTAATTTTATATTCTTTTTTTGCCTCAACTTATTATTTATTATTGTTTATTCAGCCTTCGGTCATATTGATTGTGCCTATAAATCAGTTTTGTCCAAAATTGCCTCATCTTGAAAATCTTAGAAGAGTTCATTGATATAATTAACATTGATGATAGATCGTAATTTATACTGTTGTAGGATCAAGGTTTGTATTGTATTGAAAAAAAAACCCCAGGAGTTTGATCTTTAATATCTACAGAAATCAATGGTCACATTTTGATTTAGACTCAGGAAGCAATGATTATATTCTTTTTTATCAAAGAACCTTTTAATTATTTGCCTTTTTTGTTGTTGACACACCCTTATTAACTAATAATGTTTTTTTCTACGTGAACAATATATTGATCAGTAGAAAACCTTTGGTTAAGTAGATAGATATTTGTCAGTAATAGCGGTGGGGATTGCTGTAATTATTATACATTATTTTTCACAATATCCATGTAAGGCAAATATAGTAGAAAGATAGCATTATGCCATTTCACACCTTTTACTGTCATTTCCCAGGTCAAAAAGGGTGCTCGACTATTTTACACTTATTTCTGATATTACATTAATGTGTCTCCTGTTTCAGTTGAATACAAATAATACCTGTCATATTTTATAAGTAAAGCCTACGTGTTGACATGTATTAAAAGCGACCTTGGAAAGTATTAAAAATGATATAATCCAATTGAGATTTAAAAAAAAAATAATTAAATTATATTGTACATAAAGACGAATATACTCCATAAGTTAGGAAGAGAGATAGGTGTTTGTCAAAATTGCATAGTCAGAAAAGCATGAAAATTGTCCTGACTTCTTTTTTGTATTGTGTTAAAGTTCTATTTGTTTTATACCCATTATGAACCATGATGATCAAATACCACAAAAGCATACACACAAGCTAATTATCAAAACACCAGGTTAAAAAAACCATACCATTGATAACAGATAAATAAGAAAATCGACAAGAAATATCAAATAGCGGTTACTCTCCCTTAAATTAAGCATCATATTTAATACTTCAATTTCAATTCCTCATTTACGTTAAGCCAGCAACAATCAACTAATCAATTCATCTGAATTCAAACTAAACACATACTAAACAGTATCTCATGCTTCTTATTTTCTTTATTTATTTTTCTCTCACAATTGGCTTTTTAAACATTGAACATGTTGAATGCTACTTTTGAAAATTTACACGAAATGAAAGCAAATGACCATCACATATTGCATGAAGTGCAGATATATAAATTTTCAAAGACTGAGCATTCAACTTTGAAATAAAATAAAATTCATATTATTCACATTTTAAATCTGAAATTAAAACTTTAAACACTCAACTTCAGCAGAATCTGTCTAGTGAGATGCCATTTGAAATCAATTATAATACATCATATAGCTGAAATTGACATATGAAGATGTCAATTTCAAAGTAGATAGCTCGTAAATTATTGATCAAATTTTAATGATTATTCTTAGTGTTTATCATAGGGTAATAATTAATTGTTATATATTTATATCAATTATCCATATTTCAAGATATATTGTCAACTAGTTTTTTAGCTCACCTGGCCCAAAGGGCCAAGTGAGCTTTTCTCATCACTTGGCGTCCGTCGTCCGTCGTCGTCGTTAACTTTTTACATTTTGAACTTCTTCTAGAGAACCACTGAATGGAATGAAACCAAACATGGCATGAATGTTCCTTATGAGGTGCTGACCAAGTGTTGTTACTTTGAAGCCGATCCATCATCTAAGATGGCCGCCAGCGGGGGACTTAGTTTAACATAGGACCCTATGGGAAATACATACAAATGTCTTCTTTTAGAGAACCACTGAATGGAATGAAACCAAATATGGCATGAATGCTCCTTATGAGGTGGTGACCAAGTGTTGTTACTTTGAAGCCGATCCATCATCCAAGATGGCTGCCAGCGGGGGACTTAGTTTAACATAGGACCCTAAGGGAAATACATACAAATGTCTTCTTTTAGAGAACCACTGAATGGAATGAAACCAAAAATGGCAAGACTGTTCCTTATGAGGTGGTGACCAAGTGTTGTTACTTTGAAGCCTATCCATCATCCAAGATGGCTGCCAGCGGGTGACTTAGTTTAACATAGGACCCTATGGGAAATACATACAAATGTCTTCTTTTAGAGAACCACTGAATGGAATGAAATCAAACATGGCCTGAATGTTCCTTTTGAGGTACTTACCAAGTGGTGTTACTTTGAAGCCGATCCATCATCCAAGATGGCCGCCAGCGGGGGACTTAGTTTAACATAGGACCCTATGGGAAATACATACAAATGTCTTCTTTTTGAGAACCAGTGAATGGAATGAAACCAAACATGGCATGAATGTTCCTTATGAGGTGCTAACCAAGAGTTGTTACTTTACAGTCTGTCCATCATCCAAGATGGCTGCCAGGGGGGGACTTAGTTTAACATAGGACCCTATGGGAAATACATACAAATGTCTTCTTTTAGAGAACAACTGAATGGAATGAAACCAAACATGGCATGAATGTTCCTTATGAGGTGCTGACCAAGTGTTGTTTCTTTGCAGGCGATCCATCATCCAAGATTGCTGCCAGAG